CATCTAGCAAGCTGGATGCTGCCATGCGGACCAGTCTGTCACTCGCTTCGGAATGGACTCCTCTAGCCGCTTCTCTGGAACTGGCGTAGATGACTTTCAAGAGCCCTAGTCTATATCAATGGATTGATTAGCGTCAGCACACCGGCAAACTGATGAGACCCTGCATCCTAGACGCATAAACACCGGCGTTTTGGAGCCTCTAAAGGTCCGCGTAATGACGGGTCACAGGCTTATTGGAGTGGAGACAGCTCGCGCGTGTTATCAGGATTAGACGTAAAGTCTTGGAAGATATGGTGTTCGGCCTTCGAGTGCATAAGCTCGGTACTTTTGCTAGACAAGATTCCTCGCTTCTTGATGCTAAGCATGGAAGAGCGTAAACAAGATGTGCAGGATGCAGAGTTAGTTAGATGGATGCAATACACAATTTATATGCGTCGGGCTCTTCCTTGTCCAGACGGTGCAAACCCAGTCGCGAAGCACCGAAAGAGACAATGTGCAACTATTTAAATTGATGGCCAATCCGTCTGTTCTAGAGTTGGAAACACGTTAAAACCATGTAGCATAATATTGGGCTGCGAGCTTTACTGTGATGATTAGTATCTCTGGTGCTCATATGAAGCTATCTGACCTGGCACGCCGCCTCACTGCCATATGGTGAGAAAGCGTACCTGAATACTTTCCAAACAAGGCATTCAGTATCCCACGATCAGCATCAAATTTAGTCATGAAAGGTTGGGTCATTTGACAGACACTTTCCATGGATTGAAATGTGTGGATCAATTGAATATAAATTGGAAAGGCTAAGACTGATCATTTTGAAGACGTTTAAAGCGACAGAGTTCCCCTGACAGGTGATGTAGCATGTGGTCACATGTCTGTTTGTCAGTTTGCTCTGTCATCAAGTTAGTTGACTTCTTGAAGACATTTTCCCGACCCTCAAGTCTCGAAAGTGTCGCTACCACATACATATAGAGACTATGACGAGTGCTGCACCTCATATCGTCGAGCTTCCTTGCTCTGCATAACCCTACTGATTCTTCTCAATACCTCAGGACTCTCTTGAGCGCCCATCCTCAGTTATAATTAGCAGGCTGACACACAATTGTTCGTCGTGCAGTTCTCTGATTATCCTTAATACACACGTACAAACACGCGTCCTAGACGGCCTCTAACAGGAAGCAAAATTCAATAGGCGAGTTCGTGCGTCGCCACGATATGACCTATCCAGTACCCGCCATAGCTAGTGCGGTGTGATGTGTACGACGTGATTATCGACCTCCGGCAGCAAAGGAGCGGGAGAACAGTAAGCGGTGTTTCCAAACTTACCATGCGCATATGCGCACTCAAAGGATAATTATCGTTGACTTTGCTCTTCCAGGGTCTAGCCTCGCACAATAACAGTCGACAGATAATCAAATGAGAGATCGGATATGCTTGTTTCACCAACAAGCAGCACCGCGTCATCGATATACAAGGTTGGGTCTAACGCCATCAAAGATCCGCACTGTCATGATGTTTGGTGACTTTCATATTATCTGAAGGGCCAACATGTTCTCGGGTCCAGATCACTATTCTTTTTCAGTTGGCACTAGTGAAACCTTTGCATACTATGCAGCCTGTGCTGAGTAGCTTGCAGCACTAGCGTCTCAAAACCTTCTGTAAAATGCATAGGATTCCTTCCATGACTATCCAAAAGTATTGTTGCGCTTTAAGCTAATCTTGGACTGAAAACCAATCCGATACATCATCCTGGGAGTCCCCTGCTGGTGAAACAAAACGTCATAAACCCGAAAGGCGGAAAGGAGGGGTGTCCTCGTTCTCCCTCGAAGGGGAGAGCACGCCCTGCAACACGAGGTGCCCTATCTTTGCCGGGCGCGGATCCTCCTTTGGTCTTGGTGGACGGTTATTGAGGTTTACCATGCAGTTGCCGTCAAGATCTGCCCACTAGACGCGTCTCATGCATATCAAAACTCCTGGAGCCTCCCTGGAGAAGGAGATCGGGAGTACAGGACTGAAGGTTCGAGGAGGCGAACAGATCATCTGCAGCCCCCCTCGCATGCACGCCAGACCCTTGGCAGCAGGCGTGCCCGAAATAGACAACTTTTGGCTTTCCTTCATCTGTTATTTGCCTTTCTCTCCTCATATCGGCTGATATTACAGGGAAACACAGGGGTACCAGGAAAAGTAAGAAGGATCAAACGCGGCCCAAGCAGGCAGATATCGCCATGATAGACCCTTGCCATGAGGTGGCTCGTTGCGGTGTATCCTCCATCCATACATTTATAAGGCCCTCTCAACCCAGCCCATCGAACTCATCAATTCCCTCAAGCCATTAAATATCCTACGAACTGAAAGCGCTCGTTAGCCCTGCTATCGCTACTCTTCCCATTTTAGACACCATATCCTTCGCTTTGAACAGCTTCACTCGTCAAACATAGACCATCAAAATGCATTTCTTGAACATTGTTGTCTCGATGATGGCGTTCGCCATTACAGCACTGGGTACATGTTCCTTTGATTTTGCATCATCTACCTTGGACTAACATCAGCATTCACAGCCATTACAATCACCCAGCCTAAGAATGGTGACCAGGTGGACTTTAGCAAGCCCTACACCATCAAGTGGACGACCGTGGCGTAAGTGAACACGGGCCCATTTGACTGTCACACACAACTAATTCATCTCCCGGATCAGTTCTGACCCTACGAACTTCGACCTCATACTGGTCAACATGAACAGCCAGCCCACCGTCAGCAAGAAGATCGCCAATGTCAAGACATCGGATAGCAAATACACCGTTGACAAGGTCATCGGTATTCCAGTTGCGTATGTATCTTCCAACAGCCCAGCCGTCTTCTTATGGCATATATTGTACGATCCTAACGAACGCGCATAGTGAGGGCTACCAGCTCAACGCCGAATCCAACACCACGCAGAACACCGGCATTCTGAGCCAGTCGCAGCAGTTCAATGTGACCAAGGTTGGCAAGGCTGAAACAAGTAAGGAAAATTCTATTTCATCATCATCATCACCACCGTCACCATCACAACCATCATCATCTTCACCGTCATCATCACCATCACCATGTATCCGCCCACATACCAGCACCATCATCACAAAAACCACTTCCCGCCCCTGCATCAATCACCAGACTACTTCACCATCTAGCACCGCTCCCTCCGCCTCCACAACACCGGGTGAGTACGTACAGGATGTGAAATAGACGGGTCTCTAACCGTGTTCTCTTTACCTTGCCTACAGCTTCAGCCACCACTAGCGCCACCCAGACAGCTGCTGCGTCTACCTCCTCGTCTGCCGGATCTGCCGCGTACACGGGCACGCTTCCTGGCTCCGCCGCCGTGATCGGTGCACTCGCAATGGGCGTAATTGCCGAGATTCTGTAAGTGAAAGAAACAGGCACTTCGAAGTCGCACAAGCCGGTCAGCGAAGCGATCGATAAACCTGAATCGAACCGACCCGCACGACACGACAGCGACCCTCGTAACCTCGTTTCTCGAATGATCGACTCCAAAATTAGGACATGACACGCAGGCCAACCGAGCCAGCTTCATGTTTCAGCGATGAGTGTAGTACTATCTGCTACTCCAACTTTTCTTTTTCTATTCTTGCCCTTCCCCTCACACATTCCTCCTTCCCCGCTTTCCTTCCCCTTCCCCTTCCCCTCGTTCCTTTCTTATTGTCTATCTTTGACGTCCTTCCACGAGTGATGTGATATTGGTACATTATTGGTTTCCCTTGATACATAGTTTTAAATGCGCAGATGGAAATGGATTTATGGCACTGTTACACCTTCTCTCGTTCTCCACAATCATTTAATACAATATTTTACCATGCCGTTCTATCTATTCTAACTTTCCTTTATTGCCGATGCTGGATATGATACGTCACTAGCGCGGCACTCGCGATCATGCATGTCGGCGCTGGCAAACCTAATTCCTGAACACCCTGCAAGGAGGTTCACTCTGGCGAAAGACACTATCAATTAAACCAGCCTATCTACAGTTGTCTGAACACACCTCAGCATTAACAATAACCTCCGACTAGAGACAAGCTCCATGTACCTCAACCGTGCACGTATTCCAATACTCACATGAATATTGAACACCTTAACCCAAAACTACCTACAGTAGTAATTCTGCTCCGTACTACCAAACCGAACAGGTCATTTACAAATGCACTCTGTCCCGGGGACTCCGTTGCATTCAAGTACTAGTAGGTAACTTAGGTAACTAGTAGTACGGGCCACCCTGTCCCACTATAGATTACTATAGAGTACTAGTTAACTACTATTCCATACTTAGCAGCACATACAACAGTACACATAATGCAACCCAGCCCAGTTCGAAATGCAAATGAGGGCCCCGCCCAAAAGCACTTTTCCGTACCAGATGAGTTGATTAGTATCCTACATAAGTATACTTTTTAATTAAGTAAAGTAGCTGCCTAACCCTCAATTATACTAAGACCGGTATTCGCACAACTTATGATTGCACCCCAAGGCCCAACGGGGATCATATGTGCTATGTGGCTGTAATTTTTTTGTTGCTTCTGTTGGCTCTCAGTAAGTACTTTAAACTAGGAATGTCTCTTTTACTGTACTTTGTATACATGATGGGGCCATATGTGTCATGTGTATCTTAGTTTAGTGACCAATATAGAGCCGGTGTGACTGTAACATCAACCAAGTAACTACTACTACTACTGCTGCTGCTGCTGCTGCTGCTGCTTACTTACTTGACTGGGACAAGTCGGTTCATTCCGATATTTGCGAAACACTACACAGTACTTAAAATACCTACGAGTAAGTACAGAGTAGTATGGTAGTATGTGGCTGGTAACGAGCTAGGCCGATTAAATAGATCTTATGCATTGCAGCGAGTACTACGGTGTACTGCTACTGTTTCGTTAATGACACATGTCCAGGTATTCACAAGAGATCGTAATACTACCGGATAGATTTAGAATGATGGGTATATTTCCTAATTCGATAGTTGTTTACATACATATTTACAGAGCAGCTACGAGATTGTGAACTACTTTGATAGATGGGCCGATCCGGGGGTCATAGTAATGTTCACAGTGATCCCATCATCGAGTCAGCACGACCGGACCCGGTGGCGCTGGCACTGATCGCAGGCGAATAACTGTAGTTGTCGTTGATTCCTTCTCGGGGACGATCCCAGGTGCGAATGTGGCCTGGTTGGTTGGAGAAGAGTTGTTAGCAATGTTCTGAGGGATGAACTTTGGGAAAGAAATTCGGGCTGCGAAATACCTTCGAGTGAAGATGTCATGATGGAGTCTTCTTGGAAGCCTAGCCAGCAGATAGGGTCTTCACCAACGATTTTGGACTGCGCGAGTAAGTTAGCCTTTCTGAGAATTGCGAAATATACTTAAGGGGGTGATAACTACCATGATCGGTGGTAAGAGGGCGGTTCGTGCTCTGGGTTCCACCGGATGACGAACAGTCGGATCATAACTGTTATAGGTATCTGCGGTCTCCTGAGAATCGGATCGCATTCGGGTTCCTCCGCTATCGGCTCGGTGACGGTTGAGGTGTTGCGTGTTCGAGACGATCATGCTGGTGCGTTGGCGGGCGTTGGCTTGATGCTGTTTTCATGGGTTAGAACACTAGGAATCCGTGTCTATTGTTGGTAAACGTACTACTCTCGGTCGGTGCAGCATGCCCACGCTGAAATCCCATAGCAGCAATCGACAATCGTCACCAACGCTACCAAATCTGTAAGTACGGTCGTCACAGCGCCATGGGTCAAAAGCTACCGCAGAGACCCAGGAGTTGTGGCCCTGGCAACGTGCGACAATCTTGCGCTCTGGTAACGACCAGATCGTAACAAGATCGTCTTGGCCTCCGGTTACTATGTATTTTCCGTCCGGCGACCAGCAGACGCATATTAACCCTCCGTAGTAACTGCGGAAAATATCCAGAACCCTAGCAAGACGTTAGCCCACGCTTTCCTATACCGACAAAGTGGCAAGATTGTGGTCGCAGCGTACTCTTCCTTCAAGTAGTCCATAACTCGTAACGATCCATCCTCTAAGACAACAGCCAAGTGTCTGCGGTCCGGGGAGAAGGCGAATTGCGTGATTTTCTGGTTCGCGAGTTTCCACAGCGCAACTGGATTGGTTTTCTGATTTCTCGAGTTGACCGACTTCAGGATTTGCAGTGGCTGCCGCCCCGACGACGACTTCATCGTTTCAGCCGACGGACTGCCCAGTTCCGGTGTGAAAAGAGCGTCTTCTTTCTCCTTGTCGTATACCACCAACTGTCCGTTCGCATGAGCAGCCATGAACAGATTCTCTGAACCAGGAATCCATTTTATATGCGTCACAGGAGAATTGTTGACGACGCCGTTCTTGTTGATACGTGCATACTTCTGAGACATCGGCTCGTACCATATAATGTCTCCAGCCGAGGAACCCATGACAACATCTATGTGTGATGTGCTCTTGGTTAGCTCATTGATATCATGGCTTATCATGTGCGCTTTGGTGAACAGTATCTTGGTGACAGGCTCTTCCTTCTGCTTAGCACTGAGATCCAGCCACTGGAAGGCACGATTGATATTTGCAAAGGCAAATAGACCATCCGGATTCCGATCGTTCAATCGCTTGGTTGCCGTCTCATGCGTAATGACCCGCGAGACGAATGACGAGCTGCTCTTTATGATATTGTTCTTCGGCTTCCTCCTCTTCAATCCTTCCTTCACAGGTGGTGCTGCTAGAGCTGGATTGCCATCTCCAAATAAAGATGCTGCGCCTGCGCCATCCACGGAGGTTGTGGGGGTCTTGAGCCGGCTACCGATGCTAACCAGCGAGAGCTTGACACCTGATGTCGGAGGCGCCGGAACGGTCGCAAGTGGATTGGGATTCATGAGCGGGGCTTCGGAGGGATGTGGAGGAGGGGTGGCTAAGTGTAGGTCATCTCGGAGGAGGTAAGTGCCTATCGTAAAGTCCGTCAATCAGCAAATCCAAGCAACCTTGCGGCGACGTGCATGAGTAAATATGCGCATGCGCCCCTTCAGAAACATACCTTCTCCGGCTTGTAAGGGACAGCCACCCTCTGGATGGCTGATGATATTATTGGTCTCTACAACTGGCACCGCCATGCCATTCGACGCCCCGGCCGCATAGGCGACGGGGACGGTATAGCGAGGCGGAGGTGGGGGAAGGACGCTGGATCAAGGGGGTCAGCCAGGTGAAGAGACGCAAAAGAGTCGTCATAATAAATGTAGATAGGGCTGAAAGGTAATGGCGCTCTTTGACCTCCAGGGAATTGAAGGCCGACCTATGATGCGCCCACGAGGCGGAGATAAGGGACCAAGGACGTTGATAACCGGGCTTTCAGCTTTTGGGTTGGGAGGGCAAGTCTTACAACATGGCTGCGGATACCACAAGCAGGCACACCGGTCAATCAGCAATAAATTAAAAGGAGTTTGGAGGGTGGTGTGACAGGGGCCTTGGAATGCGCGATAGGCTTGTCAGACAATCGTCGTAGCGAATTCCCTTCCCCCCCAAGAGCGGCACCCTTGACGGTGCCACTCAGGGTGGCTTGTAACGTTTCTAGGTTGTGAGAGGACTGGTCCAGATGGAAGGGCTGAAAGCAGGTCGTCGTCGTCGTTCGTGCAAGGGAGAGAGGGCGGGACCGAGGCTCTCGAATGGGCGAACGCTCTGTTGGCTAGTAGGACGAGGGAGATGATCGGGGAGGAGACTCGCGGGAAAGTCACTTGTAAGTCACTTGTGTACTCGCAGGAAGCTGGATATCGTTGGGTTATATACCCCGGAGTTGAAGATGGAGAGGAGAGAGAGGCGGGGAGAGGTACCGGGTAAGAACTTGCGCAATGGCCTTATAACCTGGGGGGATCGAGCGACGGGGGGATTTGAAGCCAGAGAGAAGAGCGAGCGGGCGGCCAATTCCGGGGTTGGTCGAAGTTGGCGCGTGGGGCCGCCAATCTGCCAGGCTTCAGTCATTCCCTCTTCTTTTCCCCCCAATGCTAACGGCGCCAGAAACCCACACTAGTCCTCGTAGTCCAAAGTCAATCACTCTTGCGTCGTGCCGCCCCGGTTCTATGGGGACTAATCTACTCTCGTGGCCGGCATGGCAGGTTTAAATGAACGAGTGGATCACCAGCCGTATTTAGGCCGTTCATTATGCATCATACTTTATTACTTCTTACTAGTCGGTTAACTGGCGATACTTTGCCGGCAAACACACTAACAACCCAATATACAGACTCAAGGGTATCTATTTGACTCCACAGGAATACGACAGTAGTGTTCGCCCCCGTCACACTCCGCTTCCACTAACTCTCCGCCAAATCATGACGGCCGCCGCTCCAGCGCAAACCACTGCCCCAAGAGCAATTCCCCATGCCATCCATTTGCCTTCCACATCTTCCTCGCTCCGTGGGAAGGCCGTACTAGGCTCCATCGCCGCTTCTGCAATGTGGACAAATACCTCCTGGATGGAGCTCCAAGTGGCACTGACATGAAGAGGAGGACTCGGCATATTCAACATAGCAGTGTATTCGTGGGGCTGATATTCGGCCCGCTGAGTAGTCCGATCCAAGTCTGCCTTGAGTGCAATAAAAACACTGGGAAGCTCCTCCAAGTGAGGATATTTGGCGCGCAGCGCTGGGATGTATGCAAAGGAATCGGGATCTGACGAGTCATACGTGTACACGATGACATCGCACTGGTCCAGCAGTTTGACCTGATTCTCGAGGAGGGCAGGCTCCAGTTCCCCGAGCTCATCGAGGATGAGGTAGCACTGTTTCCCTCCCGGAAGCTCGACTGTGTTCACAGCAGTTCGGGGCTGGATCGTAGGCCGATAAGTATTACTGAATCCACGGGAAAGAAAAGCGTCAAGGAGTGCAGATTTGCCTGAGCCTGCAGCCCCAAGGACGTGACCAAGAACAACATTGCGGCCCACACGGCCAGGACGCTTGCGTCTCTTTCGTGGTCGCGTAACCTTCAGCGCTGCTGTTGTAGAAGGATTGCTCCGGTCGGACGACTCGAAACCCAGGTAGGCCAGATACTCCAATGTTGTCTTAGGCGACGTGAAAGTAGTCATACTCCATTGCGCAAGCCATCCTTGAAGGGTGACATGGCCGGCTTCGTTGCGAACGGTAGAGGATGGGAAGGAACCGTCCGCCCATGAAGCAGGCAATCCCGGGGTGGGCGCAAAGAGCGACGCCAGCTCCGCATCATTCAAACCTCCGTCATTATCCTTGTCCGAGAGTAGGAAGAGGTTCACAAAGAATCGATACCCCTCTGGCGAAAGCTCAGCCGACGCATAAGGGGGCACGTCAAACCTCGGGTGAAGGAAGTTCTCCTGTAGTGATAGGTTGTCCGTGTATTGGAATGCTCGTAGTATGATCCAAACAGTCTCGTGTCGACCCTTTTCCGCATACATCTTGTTCAGCTGCAAGAAACCGCGGCAATCAATGCCTGAGGGTGTCACGGAATGAGGATGCGTCCTCTGAATGGTCTCCTTGATGTGAATCAAATCTTCCTCACTCAATGGCTTCTCAAAGCATCTCATTTGAAAGTCCTTAATCTCTTTATCAGAGAGGTAACCATCCCTATCCTTATCGCAGAGGTAGAAAATTCGCTGTAACGCCGCGATGGCTGCCGGCTTCAGGGAGGATTCTTTGGAGTCAAACAGCGGTGCGATCGGATGGGTAACCGCTTTCTGGCAGAGGAAGAAGGCTTCATTGACATTCCGATGTTCACGGGCACTGGTACGGATGCAAGAGTCGATTTCCTTAAACTCCGCCATTAATGGTAGCATTTCCTCCTCAATGACCTGGGCCTCGGTGTGATCTGCAGCAAGATCGGACTTGTTCGCACATAGTACCACGGGGACATTGACCCCTAGAGAACGAAAGTAGGGTAACCAGAATAGAGCGACTCTCTCATAGCTGTAATGGTCCGAATACACGAGTAGGATTACATTGGACTTCCGGATCTCCCTGGCCAGATTATTGCGCTCCTGCGGAAGAGCGGAGGTGTCTACCACCGTCGTTGTCGTGACATTCTCGGGGGTACCGATCGTAGGAGGGATGGTGATTTGAGGTAGGATAGGCTGGATCTTGTTTGTAACGAACACCCCCTTCACAAGGGAGGTGATGAGACTGGACTTGCCAGTGCCCTCATCACCACAGACACAGATTCGCACTGAGGTGCTGTTAGTGAGTAGATGAGTGAGCAGCTCAACGTAAACATATCGAACCTGTAGCCATTGCGGATCTGGAAACTTTCAAGGCGACTGGGGACGCCTTAATCAAATTATTGGGGCATGCTCTAGAAAGCTTTTGTTAATAACAAGGTCAACCCGATTTGAAAGTCCAGGCCAATCGAAACGCGATGTCACTAAAGGACTCGGTCGGCTGGGAACTACGATGATCGTCGGAGCCTCGGCGGTGGCTGTGCCGTTCTTGCGGCCTCAGGTTCCAGCCGGTCGGGTTTCTTACGATAGGTGTGGCTGGACTAGTAGATACTGGGGATGAAACAACGCAGGTACCTAGTAATAGCGGGTGGAATAGGGGAGTGCTTCTGAGATGGCTTCGTGTATACTATTTCAAGCTGATGGAACTGGAGAGTTACCAAGACGAAGACCGAGGGAAGAAGCTGGTAGAAGCGGTCCCAGCCACACTCCCCCGTATTCATTGATGCCGCCTGCGGAAAGTCCCCTCTCCGAGTGAGTACAGCCCCCTCGATTCCCACGGTTGCTGACCTTCCCCATGAATCAGATGAGTATATTATTCATCGCACAGGAACATTTTGAGAGAGCGATTTGCACAGTCACCGAACAGTACAGGGTCGTTGTGGATGGTGCAGAGTTTGGATAATTGAGCCTTATCGTTTGCGAATCGCAGTTGGTGTCAGCCGTCATCTGGTTCCACTTCCGGTCGCTCCCATAGAGACGAACAGCCTTCGCAGAACATCCTACTATCAACATCCTTCTCTCTTTTTCCACTCCTTCTCCCCTACCCCCTCTTCTCTCCTAACCCTCCCTTCACCCTCAGTTTCCGTCAAGCATAGCCAGAATGCCTCTCGGAATTCACAACCCGTTACCTTCATCGTTAGGAAGTATGTTCCGCGCCGCTTTCGTTCCAATTCCCCCGCAATCCTCTTGAACAGGTGGTTTGGCCTGCGACTAACAACCAGACAGGCGAATGTAGAAAGGCGGGCAAAATCCTCGCCTCGTTTGTCGATCCACGACAAGCGTTCGGACCTGATAAAGTCATTCCCCCGGAGATTTTGGCAGGAGCCAAGGTAATTATCAAAATCCACACTCAAGCTTGTTGCTCAAAAGTCGCACCCGTCACTCACGGTTTCTTCCCTAGGGTCTCGCCGTTCTTACTGTCCTGAAAGCTGGATTTTTGGGCTCAGCTCGATTCGGCTCTGGTGTCGTTGTCGCTCGACTAGCTGACGGAACATGGTCTGCTCCGTCGGCCATTGCCACTGCTGGAGCTGGATTTGGAGGCCAGATCGGGTTTGAGTTAACCGACTTCGTGTTCATTTTGAATGATGCCGCTGCCGTTCGGACGTTCTCGCAGGTCGGAACCCTGACGCTAGGTGGAAACGTTTCGATCGCTGCTGGACCGGTCGGACGAAACGCGGAAGCTGCTGGCGCGGCTAGCACAAAGGGTGTGGCGGCAGTGTTCTCATACTCCAAGACCAAGGGTCTCTTTGCCGGTGTCAGTCTGGAGGGAAGCATGCTGGTGGAACGTAAGGATGCGAACGAGAAGATGTACAACAGCCGGGTCTCGGCACGCCAGCTCCTCAGCGGAACCATTCGACCTCCCCCGGGCGCGGACCCTCTCCTGACCGTGTTGAACTCGCGTGCGTTCTATGGCAATGCCCGGAATGGTAGTGACATGTACAACGACATCCCCGTTTATGATGACAGCCATGACGATGTGGTTTGGGAGGGCCGCAGGGGCGAGGCGTATGGCGAAGGAACGCGGCGCGATCGCACTGGGTTCAGTGGCTCAGGCTCAGATGACTTCCGCGACCGACCCCGCCGTGCGAATACATGGGCGGACGATATATACGATCGACCTGCTGGAGGGCTGAGCCGTTCGTCGACTACTCGGTACAGCGGTCGCAACGACACTTACGACTCATTCAACCGCAGCCGGAGCAATACTACCCCAATGGATGAGGACTATGTATATTCTGACCGGAAGCCTAGCCGACCCACAGCTCCGAAACCCGTGTTTGGACAGCGGACTGGGGCAGCTCCTGCTCTACGCCAGGACCAGGCCATAGCACTTTATACTTTCGATGCGGACCAGGAAGGTGACCTGGGTTTTAAGAAAGGAGACATTATCACCATCCTCAAGAGGACTGACAAGAAAGAGGACTGGTGGACAGGGCGGATCGGGGGCCGAGTTGGCATTTTCCCAAGGTAAGCAGACTTGAAATTCGCAGGAAAATGTGTTTTCCTCGGCCATGGAACTAACCATTACTATTTAGTAACTATGTCGAGACTGCTTAGGAGTCGGCTTGTCCTAGTTGGACTCACGCGGAATGATATTTGACGACGCGAGCACCCTTAACGCCATGTTCCTCCTTCACGAATGCTTTTATGTTCCTCTTCCGTTTGATATTCAGCTTCCATGTCATCGTTTAAGACTCACCCCCTTTAGTTTTTGTTCCCGAAGATTCTCTTTGCTTTTTCCTTTCGGATTTTCTTTAGTATAAGCGCCGGAGTTGCCTGTTGGGCCGACCAGCGGATTCGGGGTGGCTTTTGAACGGATAAGTGACAAATTGGGACAGTTGCACCTGTGTATGTGTTCGCTTTGGCGATGGTTCTAGCTTTAGTATATGCTTGTGTGATAGTGTTGGACCACCTTTGGGTTATACATAAGACTTCCCCATGCTGTTTTGTTCTTATTTGGGGACTGCAGGTTTATAACTGTCAAAAATGGAATATTCCCTCTTTGTTGCAGCGCCAAGGTTGGATTGATTGGACATGTTTTAGATGATTGCAGCTGCTTCTTGGCTGATATGCTTCTCCCTTGCGAGGAAGGGAGGATTAGTGACAATAAAGAAACGGGTGGCTGCCGTCAGAAAGGTCCGAGGAGTGTCAAGGAGTCGTCAGCAGTCAAGCTCCCAGCGACGTTCAAGTTCCTTGCTCATCGCATTGCAGTAGAAGCGGTCGGTACATTCCTCGGGAGACTCTCCTGCACCAAGTTGAACTCAACCAGGACCCATCCCTCTGGGCCATTGGACCTCGTGGAGCCAGCCCCTCCGCAACATCCTCGAAGTCATCGGATGAGGCCCGCTCGGCCAATAGAGGTCAGGAACACAAGGCACGAGACTCGCGCCGGGTCTCACGCGAGAAGGCAGAGAAGCAGTGCGATTGCAAATTGAGTCCATCGTGCGACGGACTCGTTCTTTCTCTACAGTCTTCTGGAAGAACAGCGGCATGCCACTCTCATGCCAGATAATCTCCCTCATTTCCTAATAATACGAGGACGAGGCTATGGAAGGAAGACGGATACGTCAGCTGAGATTCTGAGTTGAAGATTACGAAATGACTCAGGCGATCATCTGTAGGTAAGTTAGACAGCAGGCATATGGGGAACCGCACAAGGTTTTGCAGCTGGTGAATGACGGTTTACCCTGTCGATCTATGTATGGGATGCCGGAACAGACGCATCACCGCTATGGCGGTTCACAACAAGATGAGCCAGACAATTTATGCATTAGACTTTCCCGACATTGCTCAGCCTTCTGAATGATGAATGGTGCTCCGAGTCCAGTGCATGGATTCTGCCCGTCAAATGATAAGCTCATTGTGTTTGTACCCGTTCTATTCCCTCCCCCTCTTCTCATCTCGTGATTTGTTGTCGTCATTATTCAGTTGATTTTGAACTTCTCCTCTTTCAATCCTTCCTTTGTCCTTCCATTGTAGTACCACTCTAAGCGTTCCGTGGTATCCCACTGCCAGTGCCTGCATTTAGGGGCGGGAGGTCACCCTAATAGTAGACTATAAGAACAGGGATCGACTCCGCATACGTGAGTGAGGGTAATCTAAACCAACAGTGGAGTTGCAATCCCTCCTTGTGCAATCTAAGAAAAAAAAAAATAAAAATAAAATTCAGCTCTCGGATAGCCAGTCCACACTACCAGGTAGTTCCTCGACTCATGTTCTCCGAGCCCTAGCGAACTGAATAAGATTTACTCCAAAGACCGTGCTACCGAGCATTGGAGTCCACCGAAAAAAAAGCACGGGGTACTGCTGATCAGCGATCGCCCGAACGAAAAATCAAACGAACTGAACAAGGTATTTTACTAGAACCATCGAGTCACATTTCTCGAAGTGAACGGACTGTGGCCTGCCATCGAGATTGATCAGCAGTGGAGCATCGCGCTGACTAAGAGGGCATGGTTATCCTGCCCAAGATCGATCCATCCGTGGAGAGAGAGTGAGAGAGAGTGAGCCTATACAATTTGGTTTCTCCTCCTGTTCACTGGCCTCGGATTCCCCGATTTAGCCGTCGATGGGTCTTCTGATAGAATACTCTTTCGCTTAAAGTGTTGTTTTTTCTTGAATTACTTGTCAGAAACCTATTTTCTATTTTTCAATTCTTTTTTCTTTTCCCTGTTCTTGTTCTTGTGGTGTTGTTCAAGGCCGACCACCACTTCCAAACTGAAGCGCGGCCAGCCCAGCCCAGCCAGACCAGCCAACCAAAGCACGGCGGCCTTCCCTCGTCTCGTCCACCTTCTCCAGGTCCTTACTCTTTCCCAGCACCGAACTACTAACTCCCAACTCTCCCCATCCCCATCCTCTTTCTTACGAAGAACAACTACCGCCCACCTCAGCCTCTCGTCACTCGCTCTTCCTTTTCAAACCCTTCTCTACCTCTTCTCTCGTTTGTATCGTCGCCCAAATTGTATCATCGGCCGCCGGATGCCTAGCCGTCATCGCCCGCCTCTCTTTCCTCTTGTCACCCTGGTGGTTGCTCCTCTCCGTCGACGCTTCTTCCCCGCTCCCATGATTCCATGACTACCTTTTCTCTGCGTTGTCTTACGGCCCTGGTGGTACATTGACCTCCTCACCACCAAGCGACTTTCCTAATCTACAGCCAACCCCGGGGCGTTTTCTTCTTGTCCGGTCCCCCGGTTAATTTGCTCTCATGCAGGTGCGTCGCTTTCTTTATGTCCGCGTTCTACCCAAAAAATTTCCCCCCCGTTGTACCCCTCGCCTACAACAACACTCTGGGGAAAGCTTAAGGCTGCTCCTGGCCTTTTGTTTATCCTTTACCGAAGGGTTTACCTGGCAAGAAAGCATCTCTTGTGCGATGCGTTGTGGACCCTCCATCCCCTGTTTCAATT